GAACAATGCCAAAATAGAAAAATCACATCGATTTCCCGTGGCATTATTTTGGAACGCATGCTCTAGTACCAGGCAGTCGCCATTCTGCATATTAGACTAATTTTTAGGGTGCTCGCCTGAAAATTACCCAAGGATGGTTTTATAACGGTTTTTATGCGTTTATATTGTTTCATTTATCCGTTTGTTTGCATGGGCAACTTTTATATACTTCCACATAGCGAGTTCACATGTGTGACACGAATGTTTGAGCTATCGGCGTTCCCACCGCACTCAGGGGATTTGTCCCTACTAATTAACACAAAATTAACTTCTCTACTTCTTTGGTGTTTTCATGAAATTGGGGGTTCTTTTCTTGTTAATTGAGGGTTCGGGTCGATGCATTTGTCATGCTTCCCGATGGGTAGAGATTCTTCAAAAACCCTGGTTACTTCGCCCACTGTAGGCATACAGGTCGTTGTAAGTGACTCGTCGGCAACATTTTAACCGTTACATTCAACGAGGCCCATCGTGTGGCCCATCAGGGTGGTGAGCGCAGGACGGTATCTCACACGTGTGTCGGTCTATAGTAATAACAGTCTTGCGTGGCATCTGTCACGAACTCTTCCCTCACCCACTAGGACTCGGTAAAAAGACAAAGTCAAGACGGTCAGAAGAGGGATCGGGCGCGACGTCTGGCAAAGCCAAACATCACATCTACGCGTGCCACACACGACCTGCGTCCCACCGCGTTCGGCTGGCTAATGCGGGGGTGACCCTAGATCTCATATGCGCGGGAGTTCCGCAGAGGTCACTTTCGGAAGGAGCTTTGGAGTCTGTCTCTCAGCCCCTCGAACCAGTCACTCCACAACTTACACTCAGTCCCGACTACGAGGAAAGAGTTATCCCGTCAGTCGGCGGCCTTCCAATTCACTACTTGTCGATATATTCAATGCGCGCCAGACTTATCTTAGTGCGGAGGGCGCTGTAATACCATGAAATTCGAGTCGACCCCACTCCCTTTCCTCTTTCACGCACCTGTCCAACGTGCGAGCAAGTCAGTCGCCTGTTGCTGGAATTGGGCGCAAATTACTAGTAGAGCTGTGCGGCCCGTCTACGCGACAGGGACCTTACTGCATGTATTGAGTCTCTGTAGGGGCGGTTCAGATCTCACGTTCGTGAAAGTTCCATGAAAGTCATGAGGGTATTGACAGACCAAGGCTAAACTTGGTGCAAGGCGAAACCCCTACGCATGTCATCTGGTGACATTAACTGAATGTGGCTGAACCTTCAAGCATGGAGTGCAGCTTTTACTACTTCCTAATATAACCGCGATTTCTGCTTGAATCTGCAAGCCAGAGACCACAGATTTTGCTCAGTTTTGTGATCAAACCGAAGTTACCATTTTGCAAACAAACTGCCTCTCATCCGTATGATCTATCGTTTACAAGGCTAGCCCTGTCTGACGTGAAGACCCCTTAGATTGACATGAGTAAATGCTGAAATGCGAAAAAATAGTAACTCAGAAAAGGCGTGAGAGGCCCATTTCAAGTCTCTCTGTCCACAGAAATCTTAGGCTGGTTAGCTGGCATCCGCTCATGCAGGATGTATTTCTATGAGCCGGTACTCAACGTTTTCTAGTGAAATGTCTTTGGACATTTTCTATCTTAGAAAGGCTACGCTCATTCATTAGCCGAAGGCGAGGCAAACATAATTAGGAATAGGAAAGGCAACCATACGATAAAGCAGCGATTTCTGCCAGAATCTGCAAACCACAGACCACAGATTTTGCTCAGTTGTACGCTAAAATCAAACTTACTTTTATGACAGTGGGCGCTCGCCGATCAGGTTACGGAACATGCTCGTTCCGTTGTGCCTTGGGGCTCATACTAGAACCCTCGCAGGCAGTCGCACAGCGACTAGTAGCAGACATAGATGAGGTGGGGCCGACAAAGACAAGGGAGACCGGAATGGCCATTTCTGGCTTATTAGCCTGATCAGCGAGCGCCCATCTGTCTTAATTGATATTCCCGATCACAACCGACAGGACAACGGGCCCGTGGCTCAATGGTAGAGCGTCAAACTCCATGACCAAAGATCCCGGGTTGGAATCTCAAGTGATCCACACTTGGGGTTGGGTATGGCTGGCTGATGACGGCTAATAAGCCAGAAATGGCCATTCCGGTCTCCCTTGTCTTTGTCGGCCCCTTCTCATCTATACATACTTACCTTATTTGTAAACGAACAACCTCTCATCTGTACGATTTATCCCTTAGAAAAGGACTCGCATCAGCAAAAAACAACTTCATTCTCTACAATTTTGAGTAAACATCTAATTGCTGCCAAAACTGGCCTTCAACCTCCTGCTCAGGAAACGTGAAGCCGTATGTATGTCTGCCACACTTCTTTTTAAACCAAACCTGACCATCGCTCCAGACAGCCCCTCGATTTTATCGACTCCCTTGGGCGTCGGGGGAGGAAAGACAAGGGGAGTAAAGAGTGTTTCTACTGCCTACTTACATTTGTTTTAAGGCAGATGAAGTGGATACTTCATCCGCATTAATAGTCAACGACATAAAGCTAAATGAGAATAGACTTGCTGAGTACAAGAAAAGGGAATGACTATGTATGTGGTTTTGCTTGAATGAAACAAAGTAGTAATCATGATTTTAACGTCTTATCTTAGAGGCTACGACTTCTACTCATGCGATTCGATTGCTGGAAATTTAAAGTCCCCACCCATCGGAGTAGAATGATTTGGGAGACAAGCAATAGATGTAAACGAGTACAGCAGTTTGTTCCATACTCGGACGACAGAAGGCCGTTTGAATTCTGCTGTTTTTGTGAACCTGATGTAGCAAACTCATTTTAACGTTGCATGTCCAATAATCGGAATGAAGTATGTTCCCTCGGGCGAACGTTACTCAGTCTGCCTACTATTCTAGTCTGAGGTGTTGCTTTAAACGAAACTTGCTAAACTGGGCTTCAGTTGTTTTCTATTACCTAGGTTTTGCCCAAATGATGTTCGAAGCAAGAGGAATATGTATCCAGTTAGTGATCAGTCGTGCGTCGAAAATGAGTTTATTTTTGTAGCCAAATTTCTCTATATCTGTGATGGAAGCGGACTCACATCATTTATTCCGTCTCCATTCTGCACTCGTATACATAGTCGTCTCGCTTCTGCCAAAATTGGCCATTAATATGTTGTTCGCGGTTGACGACTGAATTATTAAGTAGTACGAATCTGTAACGCAATTCACATCTTCCCATGTCTCTCCTTTGTGAGACGAGTGCTTGAATGCAGCATCTTGTGTTTCAGAGGTCGTTGCATGGAAATGCAGAAATTCCTCTCAAACGGGTTGTGAAGGCCAACCCTCGGAAAAGCGTGGAGGGGCTTTCAGATGCAGCATATGAAGCTTTTAGCGTGCGAGGACCGACTGATGGCCTAATCCCACGCCAAAGTAGCCATCTTGGGCCGCATTTGACTGACGCGCCAGACAGCCCCTGGATTTTATCGACGCCATAAGGGGGAATAGGCGAAGGCGAGAAGAATTTCCCAACTGCCTTGTCTGCCGGTGTTTTGGCGTCAATGAAGCGGATGTGTTTTCAAGGTTAGTAAACGTGGACTTAAACAAAACTGCAGGAAAAGAGGTTTGGGGAATGCGTAGCAGAGGGGATTTCTCCAACAGGTTGTTCTTAAATATTCAATGAAACAAAACAGTCATAACAAACTTAACATTGGTTGGTTTTTATTCCGACGCTGATTTGTCAGACGTAATAGACTTCCGCTCATTTAAGATGATCTTTGGGCCTACATGTTCGTTAATTAAATTGGACACAACTCAGCTGAGTACAGAATTTATTGTCCAGTGGACATTTGGAGGTGGATTGTGTTATCCGCAGATAATCGGCGCAGTATGTGTCAGAATACCCACCCAAAATTCAAAGCATTACATGCCGAAGTGCAGCCTTGGCTTTGAGTAAGAGCGAATTTCGCAGCATCCGCCAGTTTCCGTTGACGTCCTTTTGCACATAGAAATTCCCTAAAAACCGAATTACACGATTTTACCTATGCGTGTACCTTCTTGAATGCTATTGTAACACCGCTACATTCTGCCTGGCCAGGTAAGATGATAAAGGCTCAAGAGCAGGCTAACCTCAATGTTTCCAGGAGCTGCAGTTATCATTGGGGTTTCCCATCGTGTGTCTGGATATGCGAACATCTGTTAACATGATTGCAGAAATGGAATCAATCCTTTGTCAGACGGAGGCAACGGAGGAGACTAATAGCCTCATCCGACACCAAGTGTCGTCGCTCCTGATGGCCGACAGGCCAGGGGAAGTGCATTCCAAGGTCGAACGTGATGCGCTTAGAGAACTCAAGGCCGACAAAGACCTGGTCATCGTGCCATCGGACAAAGGACGCGCCACAGTTGTACTGGACAGGACAGACTACCTTCAAAAAGCCAAAGGTTTACTGGAGGACCGACAGTTCTATGTCCCATGTGCAACGAACCCTTTAAAGGCGCTGACACGCGAAATTAATGCTACGCTGTTGGCCTTGGAGAACTCAGGTGCAATAACGCCGACCGACAGACGCATGGCGAGACCCCAAGATACGGCTTTGGCCCGATTCTATGGCCTCTCTAAGGTGCACAAAGACGGCGCTCCTCTCCGACCCATCGTTTCGCTCAAAGGGACTCCAACGTACGGACTGGCTAAGTGGCTGTTCTGGCGCTTCAAGTTCCTGACCGCTGAGTCAGACACCACGGTCTCTTCGTCAGCACAATTCCCGGAGAAACTCTAAGGGGTAAGCCTCCATGCAAATGAGGTCATGGTATTTTTTGATGTTACATCCCTTTCTACTTCTATTCCCCAGGACCTGGCGATCGAGAAAATTGAACTGCTACTACAAAGCAAATACGATGAAACGGAGAACCGTCATAGATACGCCCAAGTCCTTCAGCTCCTGAAGCTCTGTCTCAGGACCTACTTCACGCTCGACGGGACAATCTTCGAACAGGTGAAGGGCACACCAATGGGTTCGCCGATTTCGGGATTCATCGCCGAGGCGGTCCTGCAACGGTTAGAGTCACTGGTCTTCCAACATCACAGGCCGAAATTCTGGGCCCGGTATGTGGATGATACCTTCGTCGTTATCGACCGGGATCAAATACTGACATTCAAGGAACATCTGAATGCGGTCTTCCCGGTCATTCAATTTATGATGGAGGAAGAGAACAACCAGCTGGCCTTCCTGAATGTCCTCATATGCCGCAAGGATTGCGGTGAACTAAAAACCAAAGTGTTCAGGAAAGCGACGAATACGATGCAAGTACTGAACTTCAACAGTAAACACCCAATCAGCCACAAACGCAGTTGTGTAAAAACGCTCTATCGGCGTGTCGAAACGCACTGCAGTGAGCCGGAAGACAAAATTGCCGAACTACAATACCTCCGACGGGTCTTCAAAGCCAATAACTACCCGCACAACTTAGTCGAGCGGTGCATACGCGAAAGGGACGAAAGGCCCAACCGCACGGACGCCGAATCTTGGCGGGCACTTCCTTATGTCAAGAACGTTTTGGAAGCTGTCGGCCGCCTTCTCGCACCACTTGGGGTTGGAGTTTCCCACAGACCGGAGGCAACCATCAGGCGTCTGGTCATGAAACCGAAAGACCCACTGCCACGACTAGAAACGTCTTGAGTCATCTATCGGATCTGGTGCAGTTGCGGACAAAGCAACTACGTCGAAGAAACCGGAAGACAGCTCCGAACGAGAATGGCCGAACACGCGGCAGCGGTGCGCAGAAATGACGCCAGCTGTCAAGTTGCGGCTCATTCGACGAGATCCGGCCACACATTCAAATTGGATGAGGCCGAAATTCTCGCAAGAGGTGACAACCGCGTGAGCGGGAGCTACTGGAATCATGGTTCACTGACCCCTAGTCCATCGACAAGTGCAACGATCTTCCCACTCCATACTCCGTGCTAAAACTTCGCCTAGGCGGATTAAAAAGCCATGCGGGGAGCGCAGAGGTGAACACTTTTCCCAACACCGGGGTCGGTGCGTCAGATGGTCGAGCAATCATCACGCCAACATCCAACGCACGTGATGAAATTGCAGCAATTATTGACTCGAATGACGGCCATCAAGCAATCATCACACCAAGTGTGACGATCCCGGATGAAGGGGGGGAGTCGTGAATGCTCATAGGTATGCGGTAGCATGGCTACTGCATCCTATAAATACCGCAGCCCCTTGTGCAACAACCACCCGTTTCTGCTCTTTTGTCTCCGATGATGGATTCGAGTCGGAATCCGAAACGTCAGGCGAATAAAGCTCTTGTCTCGGCGATCGTGTCTCCTTCTTCAAGAACATCTGTTCTTTTTTCAGAGGTCTGAAATCTATCGTTCATTTGTCCGAATACGTACAAAGTTCCGTTTGTCTGTTTTAATCAAGAAGCACCATCAGTTATCCATAAGACGTGCGCTATCGTAATTTGTGCGTAAATCTGTTTGTGCTGACACAGACTTGCGACGAATCTGCCTCACTCCCTCCTCTCTCTCCTCCCCCCCCTCTCTCCCTCACCCATCACTATGACAAAACGAAGACTAATTGACAGAATTTGGAAATGCATGCGATTGCTGGTGTGCCACAAACGACCCGTCCTCATTGCATGTGACAGGCTACCGTAAAGGGCAGCAGCGATCTGGAATGCGTGGAAGTCACATCTAGGGGGATCCATTGCAGTCTGGCCCTCAGTCCTGAGAATTATCGAGTGCTCCCGCTAGCTGGTACCCCATCTGAGCCACGCCTGAAAGCCTACCGTGATATCTCCGTCTGCCTCCTCTGTGGTATTCGCTTGAGCCACTTTAAACCTTCATAATGACTCGAACACACCACTCTTTCCTGAGTAGAGACAGCATGAACTTCAGTGCAAAAAATGATGTCGACCCTAGACGCTGTTAAGTCATTGACACCATCTACAGACTCGTTTGTGAACGCAGGCACGCACACTGCGGGATTTTGGTAGTTTGCTTTGCTTTAGCGAAAATTCCGGCGTATGTCAACGGTGCTCTGCCCACATGATAAAGTTTGGGTGCAACTCGTCGCCGGCAACAATAGAATTGCACTTTGCGGCAAGGGATTCGCACGGACAAACAACAGATCTCGATCTTCTGAAGAAAAAAAGCAGTTCAAGGCGGAAAATTTTACTCATATCTGCAGCTCCTGGCAACTTGGACGTCCGCCTGCTGTTGATGATTTATCGACTTCGAGTCCCAATACTGTCCTGGCCGAGTAGCGTGAAGCGACGCAGCAATAGACGTGCACCTACCTGCGAAATCCTTTTTTATTTTATCCAATCGTCCGACATAAGACAGGTAAGGTGGCAATGGCTTTGCTTCACCAAGCACGACAGACGTAGATTCGCAGATAACTCGCCCCCCAGGGCCGTCCTCACAAGCAAAACAAGTCTCGTTTTTATCAACATAATCAGAACACACACACACACACAGTACGCATGCATCCCTAGTGTTTTGTATGAATACTCGCTCGCATGCTGACTGCGGACTGTGCCCGCTCGCATGACGCTATTTGCAGAGGATCACATCACGACGGAGTTATCCCATCAGATCATAACATCCAAGTCACTACCAACGGCGCGTCATGATATCTCCAATGCCGCCAGATTGGCAGTAGTCTGGAGTGCACTGGTTTTGCTGCGTAGGTTGATTCCTCAGTTTTGTCCTCGCTATCCCTCCCTCCCTTCTTCTTCTTCTTCTTCTTCTTCTTCTTCTTCTTCTTCTTCTTCTTCTTCTTCTTCTTCCTCCTCCTCCTCTCCGCCTCCTCCCCCTCCCCCTCCTCCTCCCCCTCCTCCTCCGACACCAGCTCGAGTTAAACATCCCACCCACGCGCGCCACAAACGAGCTGGGGTAGATCTCGACTAGGGGTCTGTCCGTTGGGAAAGACGAAGCCATTACAATTTCGTTTTTCTGTTTGGCGTTAGGCTGTCATGACACCCGTCTGGCTTGTGGATAAGAGACTCGACTTCAAGCTTTGTTTCCCCTCCCCTCCCCTAGCTACCGACATCTAGCCTGTCGTTAGGGCCCTAGATGTCTGTTTACTAATGATAGACTCAATGCTGTCCAGTTACATCGTCTGAGTGATAATCCTCGATAAGTAATAGCCCGTTGCTACTCTATTGCCCGCAAGAGGTCCGCATTAGTTTTGGGTGTTCTGTGCCCAGCAGCCAAACCAGATTGCTGATAGTCTGTGAAATGCAGTGGAATTTTGTCCTAAATTCAGCCAATTTTAGCACTTCCTTTGTAGTTTTTATAAACCGGAGGACTGTGAACTACATGGCTGCTCCCTTTAGCAGCTCAGAATGTTCCCTAAGTAAAAGCTCTTTTGACTGGAAACGAATGTGCCTCATCCCCTGAAATACGGCGCAGGGTCACTTGTAATATAGGATTCTTGGTAATAGGGGCCTTTTAGCAGAGGAATAATTGTGTTCTGAAAAGTAGGCAAGACCATATCTGCACCGCATGCCTGCTTTGATGCATCAACAAAGACACTTTTCAGGAAGACCGTTCAGGGGAGGAGCACACATATCAACCTCTACTAGCTTTTACAAATACGGAAATACTTTACCTTTCCATCCCTGTTAGCACTTGAGGGAGGTGATATTTTCTACAAACTGAATAAAGGGAAGAAATCTCCACGACCGTCTGCATTACCCGAACTGTAAGCGAGCAATGTTTGCAGATAACCCAAAATTTTGGAAATCAATGCAAAAGCTGCAAGATGACTGGAATCGTCTGCAACAATGGTGTTATTCGTGGTTCTTTAGCCTACACGTTAACTACTCGATTGTGATCTTGAAACAGGAGGTCGATAAGACTTTAATGTCCCCACCTTATCTGAGGTCAACAACTCGAATCATTTGACGAACTAAGAGACCTCTGTGAGTGGATGTCGTCTCCACTCTGGAACCATAGTCTCACTGCGCCAAGATATCAAAGAAGATCATGGGTATCCTAGGTGCGATCAGGCGATCATTCATCGGTTTTGGCAAGGACCTTTTCGGTCGAGCGTTTGAAGCATTTGTTCAGCCGATGTTCGAATTTTGTTCGCAGGCGTGGCCACCGCGAACGAAACAAGATTACACTCTTTGGGAGGACGTACAACGAAAAGCAGCAAAACTGCTCGGCGGATTAAGTTGCATACAGTGCGTGACCTATCTCATAAAATGTTGGCTGAAATTCTGAAATGCGTTTTCGATTAGGAAGGATTACTTGGTCGCGGTTGTGATACTGATTATCATAAGGCATACTCTTATAACATTTTGGACTCGGCAGGATAACGGCTTTTAAATGCACTTCTTTTCAATCTCCTGTAGAAAGCGTGCTTGGTAAAAATGACTACTTCAGTAGCATGCATTTTTCCCATTGATTTTCGATGGTCTTGCAAATTCAAATATATTTTATAGAAACCACAAACAAAAATATGCTTTCTTTTAATCAATCAATAGAGAATTACGTCCTCTTTATATTTTATACTTAAGGAAGGAGTATAATTAGGTTTTAAAAAAGTTTCCAATTATGAGACTTTTTAAGACCGTGATACGTCCATTCACATAGCATCGTACCTGGCCGTTTACCACTGCTCCTCATGAAATGTGCAACATGGTCCGCATCCATTGCAAAATTTTATGGACCCTGTATGATATCTCCTTAATGACATAGAAAAATATGGGATTTTCTTTACGCGGAACGCATGCACCTTGTAGAGTTTAATCACTAAGCGCTAGTACAACGAATGATCAGGCTTCAAATTTTTCGGCAATTAGAAAACTTTTTTAAAACCTAATTATACTCCTTCCTTAAGTATAAAATATAAAGAAGACGTGATTCTCTATTGATTGACTAAAAGAAAGCACATTTTTGTTTGTGGTTTCTATAAGATATATTTGAATTTTCAAATCCATCGAAAATCAATGGGAAAATGCATGCTACTGAAGTAGTCATTTTTTACCAAGCACGCTTTCTACAGGAGATTGAAAAGAAGTGTATTTTAAAGCCGACATCCTGCCGAGTCCGAAATGTTATAAGAGTATGCCTTCAGATAATCAGTATCATAACCGCGACCAAGTAATCCTTCCTCATCAAAAACGCATTTCAGAATTTCAGCCAACATTTCATGAGATAGGTCACGCACTGTACCTTATGAGAGTTGGCTGGAAATGCCAAAAGGATTCTTAAACAATACAGGAGGATGTGGTTATACCCTTGAGCATCGTCAGAGTGCTAGACTGTAATCTCCCGTCTGGTGACTTTTTCTGAACTGACACGAACGACCAGTATTCGAGGCCACCAATACAAATTGAAGACAAACTATGTCACACTTGAATTGCTAGCCAGAGTCTTCTCCCGACGGTCGAGTTCGTTCGTCCTGGCAGAAAACGTTGAGACCTTTAAAAGCAGTTTCAGCAAACTTATACTTGATGACCGTATATTTACTCGACATCCTTGATTAGTATAGCCGTTGTGCAAAAATGTTCACGTTTTTCATCCGCGTTTCCGCAGATAGAGTTTTTTAAATTGCCTTTTATCTCCGCTTTATAAACATAATTGTGCAATAGAATAACCGGCGTAAAAATGCACGCTAATTAGACAGTTGTCCTTCCCCTACGTAATTGTTTCAGATGGTTACTCACTTACGTCAATAAGAAGTAAAATGATAGACATTCTTTCCAGGACTTAACGCATCTTTCTCGTCATCTCCGATAGTGCCACTGTGAGGGAAGCGCCATTTCAGTGGTGTACACTTTTCCGGCGATTTTTAATGTTTCTTGAACTTTAAAAATAAGGTACATAAAAAATGGGAGAATAATTTATCTCTTGTATACATATTCTTTCCGGTTAGGGGGACAGTGTAGTTCATAAGAGGAAGACGCATGACGTTTTGGATTCTCACTCGAACCTACCATCAGAGAGAGTCGCAGATAAGGGTGGCAGGACACAAGGGGCGCAGTATTTATAGGACACATTTGCCACGTGACCACGTACCTACTATAATTAGTAGCACCTGGGTTCGTATTTGAGATGATGGTAGCCTGGTAGCACACACCCGAGCCGCGATTTCATCACCGAGGTTGACCTGTCGCCCGCGTGTCTAACGACTTTGCCCAAGCATACACAATGGAGGCGGAGGTAGTTGCGCCTGAGGACTGATTCAAAAAGCCCACGGCTCACCTGTTTTTTCGAGAGTTTTGTAGTTTTCGTATGCAGTGGGTGCCGGTCACTTGAATCAGCCGTCTATTCAGGCTAACCGCTAAAGAACAAAAAGTTCGCTTATTGGGTCCCGCTAGTTCGCCTGACCCGAGGCAGGCCGAGAGGATGCTTTGTTAGCTGGGCAGGCGAAAGCCGTTCTACCGACCACTAACAGCAGCTCAAACAAGTGGTTCTCATTGGCTGTACACACCCAAACTCAGCCTAATTATCACTACCCTCTCAAGGCAGACATTTATGCATTTCGGAAATGATTCTTAGGGTTCAGCGCAGTGGGGTTTATAGCTCATCAACTGCTGGCCGTTGCATAAGCGCCCTTGAGAGTCCGTAATTTGACCTTGGCGTACGAAGGTGAGCCGTCAGGGAGGTTAGGCGAAATACGATGCTCATTTTCCCGACTGCGGTCAAAGCCATACGACTATCACCGTTAAGTATCGGGATTCGGTCTGCCAGACGGATGAAATCTGAGGTATTTGCGACCTGCGCTAGGCTCAATGTCCAGTAAATTGCCCTGTCAGATGTGGCTATGTAGTCCCACCTGAAGTAAACGAACCCCAGCCACCTGTATTACGGCACATGTGGTAAAAAGGGGTTTCTACAGTTTAAGCCGGGGAATGCACAGGCGACGAGGTCAAGTAGTTGTACGCAAAACAAAAGCTATTGGGAATGCGCGGTTGTACTTTGAGTGATTGAGAAATAGTTGCTCTAACCCTAACCCCCAACCCCGGCCCCAACAGTATTGTGCCCATCAGACGGGGCTACATAACCAAATCTTACCAGTTTCTTTCTTTGTGTTCACTTTGTGTCCTCTCGGTAGATTCAAAGTTGGGAACTGTCTTAAAACCCAATCAGCCCGTGAAGGGCTTTCGTTTTGGCAAAGTTTGAGCGTACGTACTGAGAGCATGGGACAGCTGCCTTTACGAAGGCAGACAGGGAAATGGCACGTCCGCAGGCTTTTACCTCGCTGCGTGCCCTGGTAGTGCTGGTGCCGAGAGGCCTTGGCGTACTGATCACGGCGGGGGGGGAGGGGGAGAGGGAGGAGCTTACTTGTCGCGGTGCGGTGGGGTTGGGAGAAGAACATGGAAAGTTTTGACGACGAGGCGCTTGGGTCGACACATCCCCCGCCCATCCTTTCGCCCACCCCCCTCGGCCACCAAGACAAGTGACCTTGAGAATTCGCATAACAAGAGCTCAACCGGCCCGACTAAGGCCGCCGAAAGACGGACACAGGCGGTGATGACCAATCCTCAGGCGGCAAGGCCGCTCTGCCAGCCAAGCAAGGCGATGCAGCGTAAACAGAGACCTTAAAAGTGAGTGCTAAGCTCCATCCGACAGCCTCTGATAGCGTGGGGTCGAGACTGCTCTTTCAGATGCCTTACGTCCAATAGGCATGCACCATGCAACTTCCATGTACCTCCATGCAAGGGAATCTCTGAATGACCACCAGAGAGACGACTTCTATTTCGAGGTGATGAAAATGTTCTGCGAGAAAACAGATCCAACTAGGGTGGCCCGCAGACTGAAGGAAAGGGGGAAGAAGAATCTGTACGGCTGTTTAGGTCAGAGGTTGAAGCTCTAGCAATCGGATGACAGACGGAGGACCAACCATAGAGTCGGTATTGTTCTCCGGAGGAAAGAACGATAATCCATCCTGGTTGGTCAGAACAAAATTGAGTTTATTAAAGCAAAACTAAAGGGTCTACGAAAACGTAGAAGTCTGAATGAGATCAAGGCGCATGCGGGGTGGGATTTCGTTCGAGACGGTAAGGAGAGGTAAAGAGTTGTGAGATAGTGACAGTTAGAAATCCCATTGAAAAAAATTTCTAGCAGTTTGACGGTAGACTGTTTTTTGCATTTCATGCCGAGGCGGACTTCAAGCCTACATCCTCAAGGATATTAATTTTTAGCACTGAATAGGAAGGATGAAGTCATTTTGTCTGCTTTAATAGACAGTGGGCGGAGGAACCATTACTCTCAAGCATCCTTCTCAAGCGTCTCAACGACCATCTAGAACCCGAAATTCTCCTGGAAAGTCAGCGTGACTTCCGAGAACATCGTGACATCACGGACATGAGCTTCGTCGCCTACTTGCTACAAGGTAAATGCTAGAAGATACGGACCCACTCCCTGTAGACCCGATAAAAGCCTTCGACAAGGTGAATTACCATGAACCCTGGAAAATCACGTAGAATTTCGGCACTTCTGAACGGTACACGCACACGGTACGTCAGCTCGGCGACGGGATAATGGCGTCCGTCACGGACAATGGGCACGTCCCAGAAGCATTCGCAACGAACAACGGAGTGAAGAAGGGCCGTGTACTCGTATCTTCTGTCTCCTCTAATGATCTCTTTAGGATCCTCATCGTCTACATAGCCGATGGCCATCTCCTTAATAGCCAGCGCGTGCAGGCCCCCAACGCGTCTACCCACGACTACTCTCCAAGACCTGCCCTTCGCAGACAACTGCGCTCCCAACACCGCGACAGAAGCGAATATACAAAGGAGTAAGAACCTTTTCGCCGCCGGCCACGCCAACTTCGGACTGACCCATAGATCCGGACGTGCATCAGCCGTCACCCAACACTGAATACAACGTCCCTCGAATCACTTTCAACAGCACCCACTTCTCATACAGCACAAAAATCGATGACAAAGCGGATCGCGGGATCTCCAAAGTCAACTGAACCTTCGGCCGACTACAGGAGTAGGTGTGAAATCGCCGCGGTCTCCATCTCAACACCAAACTGGAGATGTACAAAGCTGGCATCTTCACGACATTGCTGTATGTAGCGGAGACCTGGAGAATCTACGCTAATCAAGCCCGGAAACTCAACCACTTCCACCACAGCTGTCTCCGAAGAATATTAAACCTGAACTGGCAGGACAGGATCGCCGGTACGGAAGTCTTGGAACTGACCGGAATCTTCAGCATACATGCCATACTGGGGCAAATTTAACTGCGCTGGAGCAGCTACCATGCGAAGACGGATGACGGGCGACTACCTTAGCGACTTCTATGGCGGTTTCATTGCGGGTGCTCGCCGACAAGGATGGCGAAAAAGACACTACAACGGCACCTTGGTGAATTTCTTGAAGTGATTACAAATCAATTCCGAGACCTGGCAGGACCCCTCCCCCAGAATCGACCAGCCTGGAAAAGAGCAGTGAAGCCAACCGGATCGTCGCTGTCAAATCCAAAAGAAAAATTCGCAAGTCTGAAACACCTCCGATCCACAACGCCGATACCCAACCCCTATCCAGCATAGCACTCATGCCAACCAATGTTCTGCGCACGAGTCG